AGATAAGGTGTTATCCCGGCTATTAGTTCATTCTATATCTAAAAATTCATTTGCGTTAGGTCTCCGTTATTTCAACAGAACTAAAATAGTATCATTCCCCTGTCTGAAGCGGCTCGTGATTACGATCGTCTCATTCAGAGATGTGCTATCCCGGTTATTAGTTTATTTTCCGACTGAAACCCTCATTTGCGTTAGTCTCCGTTATTGTAAGTGAACTCAAATAGTATCATTCCCCTGTCTGAAGCGGCTCGTGATTACGATCGCCTCATTCGGAGATAGTGTGCTATCCCGGTTATTAAATTTGTTTTATGTAAAACTCCGTTATTCAATTGACATTAAATAGTATCATTCCCCAGTTTGAAGCGGCTCGTGATTACGATCGGTTCACTCAGGGATAATGTACTATCCCGGTTGTTAGTTGGTTTTACTTTCCAACCACTAGTGAGTAAACCTCTTATAGGGTCCCGGTTTCAGCTCTGGAATTAGTATTATCCCGAACCTGTCTCCTCGCATTCTCTGCAACCAATATGATATTTTATTTTACTGAAGCATTCAATTACATTTGATTGTAAATACCAATTAGAAAATTTAACAGTTAATTTTTGCTACGACCGAAATAATACTGCCGAATGAAATAGCAAATTGCATTTATAACTCAACAACAGAATAAACAATTCAATAATAAACTTTTACTGCGACCGTGATAATTATAATTATTGATTTCATTTTTTTTCTTTACGTCTGATTGAGACTACTCGAAAGTCATTTCCGTCCGTTTTGTTTGTTTATTTTTGTTCAGGGTTTGTACATATTACCGTGAGGGTGGGCGTTGAAATATTTAATTTATTTTTTTTTATTGTAAATAGTTAACCACAATATATGTGTCAATGTTAACCTGCCGTATTACTGGTTGTTAATTCCTAAATTTATTTCCCCCTTATATTTCAGCTAGTGATTAATTCTGTACCAGCCCAAGCAACGATTAAAGCCCGTTACTTGTGGCCTACTATTACCTGTGTCTAAGTAACCTTTGACCCCTGGAATTTTTCATCTCCATCTGTAGCTACCCGAGTACTTTCGACGCCGTTTCGAGAGTTTGTGGAGTAAACCAAAAATCTGGCGCTCGAGAACCGCCCGTAACCAGCGTCATTCGTAAGGAACCGTTTTCTCTGTGGCGAGAAAACCCCTTACAGCACTGCGCGTTGTTTTGTTGAAAAATATCCATTGTACTGCATACCGCCTACACTCCATAAATATTTTATTCATGGGCCCGAAATAATTCCATCTGCCTTGTTGCCCATAGGACAATTAACGGAGGAAGCACAAGAAGCATGCAACAATGACTTTAAAAGGTACCAGGAGCATAATTCTAGAAAATGCAGCAGAGAAAAGTGCAATGAAGATGTTTTCAATTTTTTTTTACTCAGTTCTGATCCTCTGCTAAGTAGCAAAAGAACATTGCCAAAGAAGAAAATTCAGCACTTACCTAAGCAGGCATTAGAATTTTTAAAATGTCCTTCTGTCGACCAAAGGGAAAGTGACAGTGAAAGCGAATCCGACGATTCTAAAAGTGACAACGATTACTAAGACTATGATTGACAGTGTTTTTATTGATATTTTTATTTTTGTTTAGTTTTTAGTTAATGTACATAGATTCATATTGCATCTTATCGAAAATCGCAACTATACCTAATATATGTTTATTTTTATAACAAAAACTTATGATACATCTTTTATTTCACTCCAAATCACCTGTAGTTAACATTTTTTTTTGCTTTTCTGATCCATTCGTACCGCCAATGATTTAATGCCAACTTTAAAGGTGTCCTGCCCCACTGTGCGACGTCTATCTTACAATACCTCCTATACCCGAAGGTGTCAACGTCTGGACGCCCAACGTCCTGCCGTCCTACTCCCTATGTCTTGAACGCTGTCACATTCCTTATCATCTAAGTATTTCCTACCGTACATTCATTTCGACGCTCAACGTCCCACGCCTTATTTCCGACGCTTGCCGTCCCCAAATATGTCCTTCATAATATCACGTCCCGCACCACCTACATAATTCTACCGTATATCTGTCCCAATACAGTACCGTATTAAAAATACCTTCCTTTCCAGCACGACGCTAGGCGTCTCGACGCGAGACGGCGCCCAACGCCGCGACCTACCTAAATCGACACCTTCCACGACGCTAGATGAAATTAGTACATAATCTAATGTCTGTATTTTCAGTGGTGAGTCAAAAGATTTACATATCTTTCTTTGAGATACCACCCCGGTTTCGTTTAAGCGCAGGCTTGACATTTGCTGTAAAATATTATCAATAAACCACATGGCCTTCAGGTCATACACCCCGAAAGATAGGATAACATCTATTTTGGATGGGTGAAATTTTGAGTATTTTAATAGCAATTATAAAAATCAATATTAAGAAATATACAGGGTTATATTAAGTCATGTCAATGGAAATTATAAAAATCAATATTTTGGAAATATACAGGGTTGTGTTATCTGGATAAATTGTACAAACCAAGATGGTAAAATTTAATAGTAAGTTAACCAACTGGCGAATACGCTGTTCGTTAGCTCAAGGAGGGACACCTATACGCTAAGCAACCCGTTCTAAAAGGTTTGAAACAAAGTATATGTGAAATCAACATAGTAAGGTAATCAACATAGTAAGGTAATCAACTGGCGAATTGGCGCTGTTTGTTACTTCCGTTGGTCATCACCTCTATACTCATCGTAATATTTACCTAAGAGGGTGCAACCTGTATATATCTACAATAGAATCAAATCAACATCAACTCAATAGTTAACCAACTGGCGAATTGGCGATGTTCGTTAACTTCATTGGTCATCAGATAAGAATATAAACAACAACACTATAGTTAATCAACTGGCGAATTGACGCTGTTTGTTAACTCTGTTGGTCATCAACCTAAATAAAATATATATATTGATAGCAAATGAATATGGTCTGCGTTTGAACGGGACTCAAGTGAGATCTCAGTAAATAGTAACAATTGTAATATACTTTGCTAATTATTGCATCACATTTAAAGTATGATAAATAAAAAAGGAGTTTAAATATGAATTTGTATGTTTTATTTATCAATTTGCACCAAACTTTGCATCGAATTCTGGTTTACCTTAATTAACATTATCACAACGTGGGTATATAAATTATCAATTAATTAACTAGACGATCACTTCTACTACTAGAGGAAAAAGGCCAAATATAGTATGTATAGAATTTAAAGTAAAACTTGTGAGGTAAATAAATAATAACAATTTCACAGAGTAAAACACAAGATCAAAAAGAAAAGGAGGCATGGGGGGGGGGGGGGGGTGGCCGTCACAATACTACTATTTTAGGGGGTGATTCTTGGACCCATTTTAATAAAAAAAACTTCATGAATGTATGTCCTAAACGTCTTAGCTTTTGAGATATAGGGTGTTACACTTCTAAGAAAAAAATCATTTTTTTATTGTCATTTTCATACCACTCTAAATATTTTTATGAAATTTGGTGTACAGCGTTTGGGCATTAAAGAGCATTTTTTGACCTGAAAACATTTTTTTATTTCCAACAGCGGCGCCCGTACTGGACTCAACTAGATATTTTTGAAATAAAGAGTAGTAAGCCCTTAAATATTAGCATGTTATTAAGAAAAACCCTGTATATCTTCATTCTAGTTTAATTTTTACTTTCCTATCTGTATACAGATATAAGGAAAGTATAGGAATCATGATTTTTTTTCGACCTCCGGTTTTCGACGGATTTTTATGTTTTGAGGTCCCCTGAATCCGTTTTGACTATTTTCGTGATGATGTATGTGTGTGTGTGTGTGTGTGTGTGTGTGTGTGTGTGTGTGTGTGTGTCTGTGTGTAACTCATGAACCGATACACAGAAAAACACCAAATTTTAAACTTAAGCTTTTTTCCAGCGTCCAAAGAACTGATTAGATTTCGGGCAGAGTCGGAACATCTGGTGGGGTACTTTACAGGTGGTCATTTTTATATTTTGTGGAATATATCTGTTATTTACATTTGAATAAAAAAATTCTTCAAATAAAAGTTACTCCTAATATTATTATCTATAATTTTTGTTCTATACAAAATTTTCCTAAAATGGTCCGTATTCGAGAAATTTGACAAAATATAAAAAAAATATTTTTTTATAAAAATTGTTCAAATAAAAGTTGTTTGTAATATAATTCTCTATAATTTTTATCCTATACATAATTTCTCTAAAATGGACCGTATTCGAGATATTTGAAAAAATGTGTAAATTTCGAATTTTGAAGAAAACTCAAAAACGGATAAAGAAAAAACATTAAATTTTAAACCTAAGTTTTATTTCGGCCTGACGTGAAATGATTAGATTTTGAAAAAGTCGGAACATCTGGGGGGGTACTTTATGGGAGGCCGTTTTTATATTTTATGGAATATATCTGTTATTTATGTTTGGAGAAGAAAATTGTTCAAATAAAAGTTACTTCTAATATTATTATCTATAATTTTTGTTTCATGTAAAAATTTCCTGAAATGGTTCGTATTCGAGAAATTTGACAAAATGTGCAAAATTTTGATTTTTATGAAAATTGTTAAACTAAAAGTTGTTTGCGATATCGATCTCTATAATTTTTGTTTTTACATGATTTTTCTAAAATGGACCGTAATGGAAAAATTGTAGGAACAGTGCTAAATTTAAATTTTTCAGTATTTTCGTTGTCAATGAATATCTATAGAAAAATGTTTCGAGGTAGAAGTATGTGGAAAATGTATATATTTAGTTTATCCTCTAAACATTTATAGAGGTGCTGCAATAGGTTGTACAAAATAACCTGAAAAAGCCTATAACTAGATAGTAAAGTCATGTGTTGGACACATCAGATTTTATATATTATAAATATGGACAAGCAAAAATTTCATTTAGTCTTTCATATTGATATTTAAAATAATAAGGCTTCGAAAAGAGTGTACTCACTTACCTCTACTAATTTCATTTGTAGTATCATTTTTTTCTGATGTCTTGTATACCAAAATTCCTCCTAGTCGTCCAAGTTGGCAATTATTGTTTAAACCTCCTGATGGATGAGCATAACCTACAGAAAATAGTAAAATAAGAGATTGTTCTATGGATATTTAATAAAGTATGATTTGTTAACTGGTTACAAGATTATTATACATAATTTTGACAGATACTTAAACTGAGTAATTTGAAGTTCATGTGCATGCTATTAGATAAATATTGTCCATTTAACCAGTACAATGAAACATGTACAAATCGTTTTGTGTAACTTTGTGGACAAATACATTCTACCTAAGAGACAAAAGTGAGAATGGTTTGGTCAAGCAGTCTGATCGTCTGTTACACCCGAGGAGCAAATCACTCCCGCAATACGTGTACAAAATGTCCGCAATCCCATTGAAAATCGCCGCAGTCTCATCAAAATCAGTGACAATCGCTAAGAAATCGCCGCAGTCGTTCCGAATTCGCTCGCAGTCGTTCCGAATTCCCTTGCAGTCCCCCGAATTCTCTAGCAGTCACTGAGCAATCACTAGCAATCGTTAAAAATCGCGCGCAGTAAGGTGACATTAACCAATTAGCCATTGTTGATGTAGGGTGCTTTGATTAAGCCATCTAAACCATTTTGTGTAAAGAAATTGCAGTTTACATTTATCGAAAGGGTCCTTCCGTGCATTTTGAGGTAAGAACTATTAACCTAAATTTACATTTTGGAATTTGAAGGTCTTTTTAGGATAAATTTAAACAATAAATCTACTTGTATACAAGATTTTACAAGGTGGTCGAAAATTGTCCCTTTTCATCTAGTTTTTTTTTTTTTAATGTATAACAAAATTGTTGGTATTTTATGGGGGTTGGGGTGATACACGTTTTAATTAGGGTTTTAAATGTATTTTTACTTTCCTATCTGTTTACGGATAAGGAAAGTATAGGAATCATGATTTTTTTCGACCTCGAATTTTCGACGGTTTTTTATGTTTTGGGGTATCCTGAATCTGTTTTGACTATTTTCGCGATGATGTCTGTGTGTGTCTCTGTATCCTCGATAACTCATGAACGGATACAAATAGAAACACCAAATTTTAAACTTAAGCTTTATTCCGGCGTCCAATTAGCTGATTAGATTTTGGGCAGAGTCGGAACATTTGGAGGGTACTTTATAGTCATCATTTTTATATTTTATGGAATATATCTGTTATTTACGTTTGGAGAAGAAATTTTTTCAAATAAAAGTTACTTACAATATTATTATCTATAATTTGTTCTATACAAAATTTGGTCCGTATTCGAGAAATTTGACAAAATGTAAAAAAAAATATTTTTTTATAAAAATTGTTCAAATAAAAGTTGTTTGTAATATAATTCTCTATAATTTTTGCCCTATACATAATTTCTCTAAAATGGACCGTATTTTAAAGAAAAATCAATAACGGATAAAGTAAAAAACATTAAATTTTAAACTTAAGTTTCCATATATGATGTAGATAATGAAAAGAGCATTTTTTATGGATTGGAAGATCTTAATATAAAGGATTTTCGAAATTACTAGACAAAAAGTGATTCTGATACCTCATTTTTAAACATAATTGTGAACAACAAAAAAATGAAGGTAAAAAAATCAGCTCTCTGTTGGTTATTTTCCACTGAAGACGGGCGCTTCTCAACTGACAGATTATCTCGTGTAAAAGGAACATCCTCAGCAGTACTAAATAACAAAAAAAAACAAGTCCAGAAAAAACACAGCTAAAATACCAAATAACTACAATGACAAAGATGTAACAGAAAGTGAAAAAACTACTGGTGAAAACACTTTGCTCCAGAAAAATATCAATGGCATTTTAATTAGGAACGAACAATATTACGCAATTCTTTACGAGTCGTGGTACATAGGTCATATTGTTCAAATAATTGATGAAACCACTAGTAAAATAAAAATTTTTAAATCTGAACTTGAAGAATATTTATGGCCAAAAAAAGACGACATTCAAATTGTTAAAAATAAATTAATATTTTACGGACCCATCAATTCAATTGGATCTGGTCCATTTAAACTAGTAACAAACATCAATAAAATTTGTAAACGTCTAAAAAAACACTTTTATGAAATTTTTAAATAAAAAACCTCCAATTACTTAACTTGTTTTATTTACCTGTACCTATTTGTTCATTTAGGCATATCAAAGATATCTAATAATGGAGGCATGTAAGTACCTACATAGAAGTTTATATTTCGGGTATCACATCAATTAAAACTGATCTTTTAAATGAATAAAAAACGTACAAAAAGTTGATTTATTGATAAATTTGTCGTACACACTTAGTTTTAAATCAATGCATTGTATTTAGCACCTATACATGCGCTATACAAAATTTAGTTTTTCTGATGAAACACCTAGCTAATGCTTTTTTTACTGGAAACCAACTGGTAAGCCATACAATATCGTAGAAATCCTTCGGAATGCGTGCAATTTTGCAATAATACTGACAATCCATACGTACGAGTAAATCGCCGCAATCAATAGAGAAATCGTTGCAGTCAATACATAAATCGCCGCAGTCACGGGAAATCTGTCGGAAGTCATGTGGAAATCACCGCAGTCATCCAGAAATCGCCGCAGTCATCCAGAAATCGCCATATGATTGCGGAAATCATATGAATTCGGCAATACATGTACATTTTTACAAAGAGTGATTTGCCCCTCGGTTACCCCCTTACCTGTTAAATGAATTCCAGGCCCAGCCTGTATACAAAGAGCCCGTTTTAATGATGCATTTTCTCCTACTGTTCCAATCATGAGTGCCAATTTATCAGCCAACGATTTTCCATCAATACTTTTTAAACTCTTTAATTGTTCACTATCCAAACAAATCTAAAAAATTAAATATGTTAAAGGTGTCCTGGTATATAATCCTTCTGTTGTTTTACAAAGACAGTCAAATAGGAAATATAGTATATATTCAGGAGTACAAATTGTATATTGGGGACAATTCTGTAAGTGCAATGGTAGTTTCTAAAAATATTTGGCGAGTTATGTCAGCCATACTATAGAAGAATATATATAGAAGACACGATTTTTCATGGTTAGCATTTTTAAAATAGTTTATATAAAAGTAGGTTATTCAGTTAAAAGTCAATTCCTAGTTAATATTCAAGCCATTAACATCTATATTTTTAAAAAATCATTTTCGGTTGAAGATTTCATTTCTGGTGCATTAAAACTCAATGACAAAAACAGTAATGTAAGTAATTAAAAGTTTTAAGCATTTTGAACTAAACAAAATAAAAACTATTATTGATTATTTAAATACTTAAGTAATTAGTAAATGATATTCTCAATAACACCTACCTTTGTTAATTTTCCCTGTACCCCCTGTTTCTTAACATAAGTTAAGCATGCATTGGCCGTTTCTTCTACAACATTATGAAATTCCTTATTTCTAGAAACAAAATCTGTTTCACAGTTAACTTCTACTAAAACACCATGGTTGTCTTCTATTGCCACCCCAACTAATCCTTGTGCAGTCTTTCTTCCTTCCAATTTAGTAGCTAAAAAGTCAAGAACCCATTAATTGTTCAAGTAAAAATGTTGAAAGTTTGCTATATATGATGGACAGTTTAAAAGTTGTACAAGATGAATAAATTGTAATTCACCTCTCCACTGAATCTCTGAAGGTTTCTATCAATTTAAAAAAAAATACGAACAAACATTATAACCTTTATAACAAAACAAGTTGTTTAGTGCCCATAACAAAGTACCTGTTTCTAGGTCAACTATAAACTTAATTAACAAAAAAGGGAATCCCTAGGCCCCAAATTCCACAGAGAAATAACAAATAAAATATTAGTAATTAAGTAAATAAACAGAAAATCGATTGTGCTGAAGCAACGCAAATAGTAACTTAGAAAAAGGACAATTAGCTATTTATTATGACTGAGTTAATAAATGGTACAGATCATATAAATCCTGATGCAACAAATACACAACATTTTAAAAATCAAGAAATACCATTCGAAACAGTAAAATACAGAAAAAGAAGACAACCGAGATGCCAAATTGATGTAGGAAGAGCTAAAGAAAAACGATTGTAGCTTTTTATTAGCAAGATTAAAGATAAGGTCACAGAAAATATGGTCATAACACATCTAGAAAAAAAGTGTGACAGAAAAGACCTGTTATCTGTGAAGGAATTTTCAACATACAAAAAACTGCCAATAACAAATGTTTTATCAGCATACAATATGATCTTATAGACCAGACGTACACTGAAAGTTTTTGGCCACGTGGGGTAGTAGTCTACCGTTATAACTTTAGAAAAGAAGAAAACAGATAAGAACAACCAGGAGGCAAACCGACTAGATGAAAATTTTCTGGTTGCCAATCAAATGCCAGTCACAACATAATTCAAACAGGAGAATATGACAACAAAAACACCAAGACTGAAGAAATCAGAATTAATAAAGAACAATCTAACAAAAAAATCATGGTAACAAAAACTTCATACTAATGCATTTCAATATACAAGGTATATAGAAAAAATTAGTGAGCTAAAACAAATTTAAAAAAAGAATAAACTAGATGTTGTTTTTCAGAAAATTGGCTGAACGCTAATGAAATTGATATGTCAGAGCTTTGTGATTATTCTTTGATAACTAAGTATTATAGGACACAATACCAAAGGGGTGGAATCTCTATTTATGCAAAAAGTAGTATGTTAATAGAACCTGTATAGGCATATCAAAATAACCAATACGACCTCTAGTGGTCAGATCTGGAATCTTTTTCGATGACATACAATTTTTGTTCTGTGCTTCGTTGAATAGGCAATTGTTTATTTTTGTGTTAAATCTGTTTTTAGGCGTGCTTTTTCTTATAAAAAATGAGTAATTCGTATTGTTCGGTACCTCAGTGTTCGTCTTGGGCGAAAACAAACCCAGACCTGAGTTTTCATTTGTTCCCGGAGGCCGGAAAACATCGTGTGAAAGTTGAGTCAGCCTTAGGTGATCCCACTTGGATGTGTAGGCGTAAAGCTTGGATTTTAAAGCTAAAAATCGGAAAACCAGTAACTAAATATATGTTAGTTTGTTTTAAACACTTTACTGATGACGATTTTTCCGAAGAGGTAAATAAAATATTGGTCACTTTAAGGTTATGTTTACAATTATAATTTGTTATTTTTAGATGTTAATACTTCAGGCAGAAGAAGATTAAAGTGGACAGCTATTCCCACACAAAATTTGCCAATTTCATCTGTTCCAACTGTTGTAGAACCCGAACCTGAAGTTTCTCAAAGAACTAAAAGGTTAAACATGAGAAATGCCACTAAAACTTCAGAGTCCATAGACTGTGAGTGCAGTGAAGAAGAACAACCTGGGCCTGTACATTCCCATGAAGATTTAGAAGCTGCAGAAGGTCTACTACTGCTTTTGCAGGAACAGCCTAATTATGAAGGACCTACTACGTTTAGAGACTTTGAGGTAAATACCCCAAAAATTTCAACATTATGTGATCTCCTGACAACAGACAGTGCTCTTAATAGTTTTACTGGAATTCACAGTTTTCAGCTTTTGGATACAATTGTGGAAGCTGTAGAAATGAATTATACTGATCAGAGGTACCATAGATTAAATATAAGACAACGTATAATTCTACTGATGACAAAATTAAAATGTGACCTTTCTTATGTGACTTTATCAATTTTATTTGCAGTGTCTCAAGAGCTTTGTAAAAAATACATTTTTGATATGCTTCCAATTTTAAGCAGTGTTTTAAAATGTGCCATAAAGTTTCCAGATGGAAAAGAAGTTGAACAAAATATGCCAATATGTTTTAAAGGATTTGAAAATGTTAGATTAGTTCTCGATTGTACTGAAATATTTATACAGAAACCAAAGTGCCATTGTTGTAGAATTAAGTTTTATTCACAATATAAATCTAATACAACTGTGAAATTTATGACTGGTGTATCTCCTGGGGGTATCATTACCTATGTTAGTGAACCTTATGGAGGAAGAGCTTCTGACAAAACCATTTTTGAGCAGAGCGATATCATACTCAAACTTGATAGCCACAAAGACGCAATTATGGTACATAAAGGATTTCTAATAGATGATATTTGTGAAACCTTTAAAATAAAATTAATTAGACCTCCATTTTTAAAAAAACAAAGTCAGCTGACTGCAGAACAGGCTATTTTAAATTCAAAAATTGCAGCTGCTCGTGTCACATTGAGAGGGCAAATCAAAGAATAAAGATTTTTAAAATTTTAAATTCAAAACTACAATGGTCTCTGGTTAAAAAAATTAATCATATATTTATAATAGCTTGTGGTTTAACCAACTTATCAAGTCCTATATTAGCGGATTGTTGGTATCTTAAGGAGTAAAAAACACTTGGAATCTGCCTAAAACTTGCTGTGTATTTTAGATTTTAGTAAATGTTAATTTGGTATTTGGATTCCTATTTAATTTGATTTATAGTTGTGATCTCTATGTACAGGCGATTGTATTTTTATGTCTAGAATTTGCTGTGTATTTTAGTAAATGTTAATTCTATATTTGAATTATTATTTAGTTTTAAAGTTAATTTGATTTATAGTTATGTTCTCTATGTAATTACATGCGATTTTAATTTTATGACTACAATTTCCTGTGTATTTTAGATTTTAGTGAATGTTAAATCTCTATTTGAATTCTTAGTTTAAGGTTAATTTGATTGATTTATAGTTGTGATCTCTATGTAATGTGATTTTAAGTTTGGTTTTTCTATATTTGATAAAATTTGTAATACTTAAATATACAGAAAATAAGGCTAGGATGTTTTTTGTAAATTTAAATGGAAGGGAAAAACTAATAAGAGTAAAATTATAAAAATACACTTTATTAACTAAATATTTATTTATATGTTAGCACACAAATTATGTATCATTTTTTAAAAAAAAATTATATTTGACAGTAAATAACATTTCCTTTGTAAATTCATGGTCAAAATCTATTTCAAATATTTTTAATGATTTGTCAAATGAGGCATAAACTACAAAATAACATTTTGGCACATTTAACATAGCCATACCCAACTGTATTTGGCCATAATATTGATGTCTTTTTTTCAGTTCAAAAGAGTCATGACTTTTATTCAAAAATGCTGCCTTCGGAAGTATTTCGTTAATTGTAGCTGAACTACCTAAAAAAAATGTGTTGTTAATTTATCCATAGATGGCTATACAGAATTACCATTGTATAAGCATTTAATTTCTAATAAAGCTACAGGTTTATCTTCCTCCATTATAATCCCATCAGGGGAGTATCCAAGCCAAGGATTAGAATGGGAAATTATTAACCCACATTCTGTAACCATGAAGCCAGTTTTCTCCTTGAAAACATCTCTAGCCTCAGCTTCATATTTTATTCCATGTTTGATAAATTTATTCATAAAATTCTTGGGATAAAAATACTTTATGGATTTATTTTCCCAGTCGTTTCCAGAATAGGTATACAAACCATAAACTCGTGATCCAGTAACCCGAAATTTTCTCTGATCATACCATGCTTTTGACTGCTGTATTAATAAAACTATTGGTTCTTCATTGTTTTGAAAAAGTTTAATATACAATTGTTCACAACAGTCATATTTAAAACTAACTTCAAAAGAATACAATTCCATCATTAGTGGTGACTGAACAGCATTATTTAAAATGCTGGAAATAGAATGTTCATGTTCTTTAAAATCATTTGTCAAAAGAGTGGTATGATCAGGAACTGGTCTTCGCCCAAACCTAAAAATTAATTTGCGCATTAGTTATTTTTTTGTATATTTATTAATGTAAAATAAAGGAATATTATTATTAAAATTTATTAATTTCAGCTTTCTTTTATTATTTATTGAAGGGCAAGTACAATACACATATCAAAAAAGAAACGTTTCTTTAATTTACAAAACTTACTTATGCTTTGCAAGTGCAGAGGATGGTAGTTTTTGAATAAAAAAATTGTACATTTTCTCTGCATCAACTACCAATTTCAATTCCTTGTCATCCACATTTTTGATACAAGGCATCTGATTTATTGATACAGCATGGTACTTTTCTTCAAACTTTTTTGTTTTGACCATGTACATTTTATTTGAGTTTGTGAAATGACCTCTGTTTCCAAATCAACCCTAAAACAAAATAAACAACAGCAGAAAATGCACAGAAAACATAAGTACTAACTTCAATCTTATTAAGAATCGAAATGGCATGATAACGCCTTTTTTAAATTAGCAACATCATACACCTTGTACACTTAATTAGAAGAGCAGAAATATGCTTGCACTTTCCACTATTTCCAGCCTTGCAAGAACAGTTCATGTTTTTCACTTTTAATTTTTTGTTTATAATTTCCAGCTGGCCCTTTATTTCGTGAGGATGAGATTTCAAGTCACTAGTTTGTAAACATAAACCACACACAACTATATTTTTTTCTTGGCTCGTAGAGTCCAATTTACCACACATAATTAAATGTCCAGCATTTAACACTTCTTCACCTTCATAAACACATCTAGATGTGTTTGTACCCCCAAGATAGTCCATGTAGTCGATTATGCTTAATTTCATCTCGCCAAATTAATCCTTAAATACAACAAAATATACATTAGACTACGAAATAAAAGTAAAAAATTTTGAAAATCAAAAATAACCTTAAATATATTTTTTTTATTTATGGTAGATTGTGGTGAAAAGGCACACTTACCTATAAAATAAATAATGAAATAAATAGCAATAACTTTTCCAGATAAAATGTTCTCTTATTAACGATAAAAATGATAAAATAAAATTGTTAAAACCCAAAGCACATTTAAAAACAATACATAAACAAAAAACCAATGTCAGAGAAGAGGGTTCCAATGTATGCCACGATGGCGCTACGATCTTATTTTCAGATGCCTGTACTGCAATTTTACTATTAAGAAAATTATCGAAATAAATGTTTGTAAATTTATCTTTAAAAATAAAGACATTGTTGTCAGATCTTTCTATAGACCACCCAAATCAGTTTTCAAATTGTTTACTGATAGTGTATATGGCCTTTTGTGTTTTTACTATAACCCCTCTAGATATTATGCTGTATGCAGTGATATGAATGTAGACTTACTTATTAATACTAATGAAACAAAATTACTTATGAATAATTTTAGGGAATTTGGCCTGTGCAACATTGTTACAAAACCAACACAGATCACTTTTTACAAATATTGAATATAAAAATGTTATTGTTCAAAATAGTTTCCTATCAGACCATTCACTACAACTCTGTGAATTCAAATTGCAAATAACAAATCAGGTAGAAACTGCACAATCTTTTGTTAGGGATTTAAGTGACAGTAACAAGCTTATCTTTAAAAATATAATTATTAACAGGTCATGGGAAGATACGTATAACTCATCTGAGTTCAATAACAAATTTAACAGCTTTTGTTTGACTTTTTTGTACCATTTGAATAACGCTTTTACATTTAAAAAAGTTAAACCTAAACGACACGGAACTAAGTGCACTGCATAAGATTCCGTGTGAATTACATAGTATATACATAACTAGTAATAATGATACTATTTATTAGGGTTATATATAAAAAACTTTAAATAATTCATGCTAATAAAGTCAAATCAGCAAATCTTTTCTATAATAATAAAAGGGTAATTAATGCAAAAAGTTCAACAAAAGAATATTGGAGAATTGTAAAGGAGGCAAAAGGAAATCAGTAAAAAAAATTCCCATCGAGATGCTGAAAATTTCTGGTGTATAAAATGTATGTAATGCTTTTAATAATTAGTTTACTGATGTAGACTATCTTCTACCAAATTATAGTGAAGTAAGGCTTCAAGATTTTTCTATAAGCACTCTAGTTTTAACTCCAACTACCTCAAATGAAATAACAGAAATTATACAGAAAACAACTTGTAAAAAATTTGCCAGTATAGATGAAATAGATGGAACAATATTGTCTTTTATTACTGAAGATATTAGTGTACTGATGTTCTACCTCAAACGAGTCTTTTTTATGTGGTGACTATCCTAGAATATTAAAAAAAATCAAAATCCATTTCTATATATTAAAATAAAGGGTCTTTAGATGACATAGCAAAATATAGGAACATTTGCATTCAAAGTCAACTGGCTAAAGAATTCGAAATGGCCTATAATAACAGGTTCATTAAATTTCTAGAATATAATATTTGAGTAAATTTCAACATGGTTTTCACAGAAACAAGTCAACATCTAGTACTATAGGGGAGTTATGCGATTTTCTTTACCCATCTTTAAATAACAAGGAATTAAATATTACCTTAAAAGTACTTTGACCTCTCAGGAGCCTTTGATTCAATTGACCATCAACTGCTAGTAAATAAATTGTACCGAATAGGTATAAAGGGCCCGCCAAATAAGTGGATACAGTCATATTTAAACATACCTACTGCTGAGGAATGAGTTATATAAAATATACTTTAAAAAACGTTATTGACTTTACATTAGGTTTTTAAACTCACCTTTAGACCATCCCATTGCTTGGGCTTGCTGTTTTAACCAGTCTTCAGCCTTGAACAAATCGTTGTTATGTATCTCTAATGCCTTCTTGCAATTGGCAAAAGTGTATCCTGTCTTCTTTCTTAGAGTAGCCAGCAAGGATTTTTCAGCCCCAAAATGAATCTTTGTAAGATACAAATGCCTAACAGACTTTGTGAAAATCTGTAAAATGAAAAACAATGTAATTATCACGGTTGAGGTATTACAAAAACATAGGAAAAACATTCTCAACATTTGATTTGTAACATGTCGACGTTCATGGAAAATATGACATATAATTTAAAATGAAAATCAAAATATTTCAGAATGATCGATTTTTAAATTGAAATTAGACACGTTTCCATGGTAAAATAAATAATTCCTGAAAAGTAGAAGGACTGGAGTAGTGTCCTTCTAGTGAAACTTTAATTTTATTACATAAATATTAAGTAATGAGTTACAAAATTGTTTCATAATTCTTAGGTATGTACTTACCATTTTTATTCAATTAAATTGTCTGATGAATCTATCGTAACTTCAGTTTTTTAAATAACTCTTTGAATTTCAATCTAACCATTTAATAAAAGACAGTGACATTCGGTCGATAGCAGTGTTGCCAACACCCCGCTTCTCATTCCCGCTGGATTGGTATATAAAAACCGCTAGAATACGCTAAAAGCACTGAACTCCCCGCTAAAAGTGAAATTATACTTAATACAGCGACAGTGTAAAGGGATATTACCAAAGTTAATAACTCTCCTATCGAGATGACAAAAATCACGCTCGAAAGGGCAACAAATGAATGATAAAATCATTAAAATGTTCACTTGTGGCAGTGATCTACTAAAAAAGACAAGAACTCAAGAACAAGTCACAAATATATTGTATATTGTGTGTGCACAAGATTTATTTTTCTATCAATTTTGTTTAAATTTTTTCAAAAACCGTCAAAAAACCGCTAAGCCGCTAAATAAAGTTTTTACCCACTAAATTGAAAACAAAACCGCTAGATCTAGCGAGAAAACCGCTAGGTTGGCAACACTGGTCGATAGACAGACTGAAATTTGACAAATCTGTCAACTGTCAACAAGTAGGAACTAGTGAATTTCCTGTTCCTCATAGCACTATTTCCGAACATTTGTCTACAATTTTACAAAAAATTTATCGCCAAATTTTAGAACAATCTGTAACATTCATTTTCTATCCAAATATAAAATATAATAATAAAATAGTCTAGGGCTTATTGATTGGTCTTTTACACATTAATTTTTGCTTCGTATTTATTCGTTTTGAGTCGGAACTCGCACTTAGCATATTTACTACTAACATTTTACCTACAACGTTGTCATGTATTGTAAATAATAAACTAATAAACCGCCTGAACCTAGTGTTTAGGCAGTTTAGGTGTAGTGACTTTTGAAGTTAAACTAATATTTGTTTGTTTAATAATAATTTATTAACAATAAAACTTTTTCCTACGACCACTTAGGAAAGTGACACATATCACACTATAAAGTCCTATGGAAAGTGCCCTATATCACACGCGTATAAATAACAATTTACTTTCCACCCGAGTGAGAATATATGTTACTTTCCGCAGTAGTTGTTACAAAATGTCAAACACCTAATTTCTATTTTGATCTATGTAATGTCCATATTAATACTAAAATCGATATGATTGTTAAATGTTTGAAATTGTTGTAAATTAGATCTTAGATATTTATCTTTAACAATTATTATTAAAATAATTTTAAAATAACTAAGATTATGTTTGCTTTTTATTCTGGTTAAACATATAACCGATTAGATCACTCAATTGACGAAAGGCCTGTTAGCTCAGTTGGTTAGAGCATCAAACTATCAAATTTGCCATTTGAGAGACCTGGCGAACGACCGCGTTCGAATCCTGGCGGGGCCAGACATTTTTTTTTTTTATTTTTTTTTTAATTTTTGTTTTTTTTTTGTTTAAAAAATATGAAAATTGAATAAATACGATTGTTGTTGATTATTTTTTTAAATACATTTTAATTATTATAATAACCTGGTTTTACATTTTTTGATGAAAACATTTTGTGGTCGTAGGAAAAATATTGTACATCACTTGTGTGAAAAGTGAATTTCCACACTCGTGTGATAGTCGCACTCGGCTTGTGCCTCGTGCGACAATATTTCCCACTCGTGTGAAAAATGTCACTTTCCACACTCGTAATGTAATATACTATTAAAATTATTGTTTTACTTACTTAATGATAATTTAAATTGTAAACTTTTCAGCATAAATTATGTTTATTAATAAAGTTGGCAACATTCAGTATCTAAATAAAAATGACCGTGTCTAGATTTGGGTTATCCGTGATTTAATAGAAATGCCTAAGAACCCGTTGGTATCGAATAAATATTATTTATTTTACAGGAATGGCGAATAGGGATCTTGAAAGGGAACGCTTAATTAAGAAAATCACTGAAAAAAGAGCCAAATTGGAAGCTCGAGGTGATCTTAATATTAAGGTTCCAAGATTAACTCTCCCATCTGATTATAATATACATGACCGATCATTATTTTCCCTGCCACCCGAATTGCTTAAGCCAATATTGGCTTCTGCTCATCCTAAATATAGGAGACAACTGGCCGATGATAAGAAAAAAGGTAAACATAATTTGACTTAAATTTACAAAGTCAAGTTCGTGAACATTTTTTTTTGAAAAAAGATTAAAAAATATTTTTTATTTTATTTTTAGCTGCTGAACATAAAGTTAAATTACAATCTTATACCGCTTTGAGAAAGCAGAGAGAGGAATATAGAAGTAGACTGGTAAAACTAATAGTTGCTACAGATGACGAACGTGACATGGATACCGACGAATATTACACACCGACAGCGAGTGAAAAAGAATTATTACGATACTATTATTATATAAAAAATGGCGTTGATACAGTACATGTGGCGCCGATAGATGAAAAAGTTTTAGTAAGAGTAAGTATCAAATATTTTCACATTGATTATCTAAAATTCGTTAAACACTATAAATATCAATATTTTTACGACCAACAAATATAGTAAGTGGATTTGATTCATTTTCTGAGAAAAATTCGGGCTGAGAAAAATACATGAGAAACAAGTTAACGGAGGGTCAAATTATAGTGAAATAAGTTAGCGCGTGACAAAATATTTCAGTATTTTATTTGAAATAAAAAAAAAACCTAACTATTTTACCTAACCTCTATCGCGGGTTGCTGTATATACAGGATGTTTCCTAACTACGGCACGAATCTTCAAAGGGTGATTCTTTAGGTTGTTTAATGAAAAAAACTTCCCATGAACAAATTTTCAAAACCTACCCAGACAGTACACCAAATCCTTTGGATATCTACTGAACATCCCAATATCCACTGAATGTCCAGTCCATGGTGGATATCTATTTTATATCCATGAAATGTAATTTATAGATATGCAAATGTCCATAAATAATAGTAATTATATAGCAAATTATTAAAAAATTACGCCCTTGTGCTCGCTATTGTGGCTAATAGTAACGTTCAGATATTTAAAATTAATTTTTTAAGGTGTATTCAATATCCACTAGATGTAATTTTTGATTTTGCTTCCTAAGTATAGATGGCGGTACCACTTTCGTATCTACTCATGCTCAACCCACCGTAATTGAGTTCGATCGATATTTTTTTCACAATCAGACTCCATTAGAGACTGGAGTCGATAATTTCCTTTTATTGCTGAAGAGTCCTAATAGGGATGACTTTCTCCTTAGTGCCCTTAGTGGGCAAAATCAAAGGTAGATTGTTGGATGGAAATATTTTTTATCTCTATTTTCTTTCGACGTTATTCAATAATCATTGGTTACTTATGAACCTCTACTAAAGATACCTATAAAATATTTTGCTGAATATCTGAATTCTATATCCTGGGATATAGACGGATAATTGGTTGGATATCCATATTGGATATCCACAAAATATATTCTGTGGATATCTCTGGAATTTCTTGTATTGTCTGGAAGATACTCATTAGATATTTTGCTGAATATCCATAGGATATCTTCTATATTCTGGATATAGACGGACATTTGGATATCCATATTAGATCCACGGAATATTTCTGATATCCTGTGGATATATTGGATATCCACAAAAGATATTCTGTGTATATCTCTGGGATTTGGTGTGTTGTCTGGGTAGTAAACAAAATAACTTATCAGAATACTTTTTTACCAGTATCATAAAAGTAACTGTTTTGAGATCTTTATGAATTTGTGTTCTAAAGAATATTAAAGGTATTTTTGTACTATACTGGTTTGCGTACAGTAAAGTGTTATCCTTAATAATGGATGAAAAATATCGAAGAGCAATTCAGATTGTAACATTACTGGAAAATGGAGCAAGTTAACGGGATGTGGCGAGAAATGAAATGTCAGTCGATCGACAGTGCAAAGAACACAACAACGGTTTCTTGCATCCGGCTGTAATCACCGGCGACCTGGTACAGGTGCTAAAAAAACAGCTAGAGAAGATCGCTTTGTCTCCATTGCTGCTTTACGAGATCGAACACAAACCGCTAGAATGTTCCAAAGCAGTCTTCAGCACGCTCTTGGAACAGCAGTCAGCACTTCGGCGAAGATTAAGAGAAATGTTATGTAATGTTGGGAATGAGGTGTTAGTACACCGCGACCTAAAATATCTATTGTGTCCCCTTCTGTCGCTAATGTAGCAAGGAAATGTCTCAATGATTATAACGACCCTTCCAATTCTATCTTCTCAAGAAAGTGTAGGAGTTGGAGTGACTTCAAGTTAAGTAAATCTCTCTCTTCTATTTGATGTGTTCCTAGGTATAGTGTCCTTGGATTCTGGAGTGCTACACATTCAGTTAGAATGTAAATAGAGGTTTCGTTCTCCTCCTCCTCACAGAATCTGCACTTACTATCTTCTTCTTCTACTACTCTCGGTTTACTAAGGTATCCTTTTAGTCGGCAATGTCCAGTAAGGATCCCTGTAACAATACGTAGCCTATTCTTACTCAGGCAGATGCAGGCTTTCGATCTTTTCTGGTAATATTCATCTATAAGTATCTTAGCCTGTCTCAGCCTCAAGAGATTGTTCAAATTATCGGTTCTTCTACTGCCCAATTCTTTTTTAATCTCTCCTAATATTATGTTACTGCTGATACCGCAGAACGGCTCAGGTCCCACAAAGGGTGTTTGAGCCCTTTTCCTTGCGAGACTATTTGTAATTTCGTGACCCTGTACCCCGTTATGTCCCGGGACCCAAGTGAGAGTAACTCTATTTTTCTCGCCTAGCTCATTCAATTTTTCTATTCATCTCCAAACCATTTTTGAGCTGATTTACGTAAGAGCGCAGCGCTTTGATGGCTGATTGGCTATCGCACATGATGATAATCTCTTGTGTACGATAGTTTCGCTCGATGTTAAACTTGATAACTCTTCTCAATGGCGTGAATTTCTGCCTGGAAGATGCTTGGGTATTTTCCCAAGATCCGGAGTGCTTGGTTCTAGACCCATACAATCCTATTCCAGTTCCGTCAATAGTTTTGGAACCATCCGTATACCACTAATAGTATGTTTATGTGGTTTTGAAGTTTTTCACAAAACTGTACTTCTTTATCATTTCATCCTGGGGCATATCCCAGGTATTTTTGGTCCTGAAGCAAGTAGACTTTAGTCTTATTACTCCCTTCCTGATCATTCTATATCGTGTTCTTTTTACCACATTCTCTGTCAATAAATGTAGAGAGGAGAGGTTTAAGATCACCTCCATTGCGGCTGTAGGACAGGTTCTCATTGCACGGGTAATGCAAATACAGGCTAGTCTTTGTACTTTTGAGATATTAGTTCTCGTACTAGCTAAACTAGTTCTGTTACTCCAGGCTAAAGCCCCGTAAGTGATGATTGGTCTCACTATTGCAGAATACATCCATCGCAGTGTGTTCGGGTTACGTCCCCATCGCTGTATTGTTTTTGTAGGGTTTATACTAAGTCCCACTTCACGGCACAATCTTTTGATATGTTCTAGTCCTCGTTGGACTATATCACGGAGAATATTTCTAAACTTGCCTCTAGCAAATATGATTATGTCGTCGGCGTAACCTTGACAGGGTATGCTGAGTCAGTCAATCTGCATAGAAGTTCGTCTACGGTTAGGCTAGACTCCTCCTTATGGATATCGTTTGGTTGTGCAGATGGAGATGGTGTCCTGCCCTATTTGTGTCTCTGCAGTTCTCGTAGATAGCAGCTGAGCCGTCCAACCGGATGTGATGTTATCTACTCCTCTGTATGCAAGAGCTCTTTTGACAGATTCGTGTAGCGTGTTGTCAAATACTCTTTCTATGTCTATGAATGCACACACGACCGTTTCTTTGTTTGTCAGTGCATCCTGGATTACGTCAGTTAGCTGTACCAGGGCAGTTTCTGTAGATCTTCCTGCTTGGTACGCGTGCTGGCTGTGGTGGAGTGGCACCCTTTCCAAAACTTCCGTTCTAATATAATTATCAAGAGCCTTCTCCATTGTTTTTAATACAAAGGTTATGAGGTTGATTGATCTGAAGGATTTAGGATGTGTGGTATCCTTTTTTACTACTTTTGGAATAAAGGTGACTCTGGGCCTTCTCTATGCTTCTGGTATATATCCTAGTTCCAGACTGCTCCGGGATAGCCGGATTATGTGTGGTAGTAATTCTTTCTGTGCCCGCTGAAGCAGAGCAGGAAATATTTCATTCACACCTGGAGACAAACGGTTCAAAAGTGTTTACGGCCCACTTTAACAGCTTTCTGTTGCATATGTGTTTGGCCACTACAGCGGCCTCTCTTTGGGGTCTGCTTACCTTAGTTGTGTCCCTTATTAGAAAAGGAGTGCTTCCAGGAAAGTGAATTTCGAGTAAGAGGCGAGCTCTTTCCTCCTGACTCTTCGTGAAACTACCATTTGGTTTCTTTAATGCCATAACTGTATCAACTTTTCCGTTTGCCAGGGCCCTGTGCAGTCTCGCTGCCGCAGGTGTAGGGTTAACATCTTCGCAGGATTTTCTGAAGCTGTTACGTTTAACTCTCCTAATTTCTTTGTTGTAGGTAGTCATTGCCTTGATGTAGCTCTGCCAATCTCCGCTGTGCTTACCCCTATTATAAAGCTTCTGCACTTTGAATCGTAGGTTTGACAGATGACGGTTTCACCAAAGAGCATCCCTACTAGTTCTGTTTCTTTGAATGGGACAGCTTGATTTATATGTTTTAAGTATTGCCCAAAAAAGTTCTTCGAGATCGCTTTCCAGAGCAAGTGAGTGCCTGGGCCCCTTTTTGTCTGGATACGTGTTACATTTTGATTTAGAATGGTGTTGTATTTGTCCCAGTCTGTTTTTGTAGAAGTCCTCCTGAGTATCGTCTCAGAAATTTCGCTCTCTAACGTTAACACAATTATCTTGTGATTAGATAGAGATGGTTCACTCGATACTATCCAGTTTGTAACTAGATCTTTAATGCTCTGTGTGCTTAATGTCTAATGTCTAATACCTCACTTCTTGCCCTTGTTACAAATATTGGAGTGTTCCCAATATTTTGCACAATAAGGTTCTTATTAAAAATATATTCTAAAAGTTGCTCACCTCTGTACGAGGCATATATCTTACCCCTATTGGGAGGTGGGGCAAAACTGCCCATTCTCTTTTGCTGCTATAAATTTGGGTTGAGACAAATACATGAAAGATAAGTTAGCGCCGGTTCAAATTATAGTGAGACAAGTTAGAGCTGGATCTTTGAAAAATCGAGATAAATTAGCACGTGATAAAATATTCCAGTATACAATTAACATTTATTGATCGCTTCCTTTTTCAATCTTAGTTTTTTCGATTTTGTGATGAACTAAAAATTCATTCCTATTTTTATTTAACTGGATCAACCCTTGTTCTTAAAGTTCCCCGATTTTTAAATTATTATTTTTCGAAATTCCCGCGATTTGCAAATAATGATCGATTTTATGTTAATTCCTATTAATTTCAAAATCACTTGCTTTTCGTTGTATACTCTTCCAAAAGGTAATTAGATTATTCTTGTAGTTTCATTTGGCCGTGTGTTCCGAAAACAGTGTGAAACCAGCAGGAATCCGTTAAATTCCCGAGTTGTTTATATTTTCTTTTTATTCGATTTTTTTATTTGCAACCTTATCAGTATTTTAGAAGCAAATCCGGATTTTCTGCTAATTTTACAATCACATTGAAAGCCGTATAAAATAATTTAGTTCATTTCAATTAAATATTAGCTTGTTTTAGTTTTATTTAACTAATAGAATTTGATTTATTTTAGAAATAGTAATACCGAGTAAACCGGTAAAGTAATACTTGTAAATATTGTAAGTTTGGTTTCAAAAATAGTTATACCTGGGTTGTACAATAAGTTAGTTTCCGAAAATTTTGTAAATATTAGTTTGAAAAATATTTATACTGGGTGGGTGATTAACTTAGAAGTGGTTTGAATATTTTGTTTAAAATTAATTATACCGGGTTGCCAAGAAATTAATCAATCTTAATTTCAAAGATAATTTTTAAATTCTTTTGAATTGAGTAACATGATTTTTTACACATTCATTAATTAACTAATTGAGTTGATTCCCATCTCTTTCCTTTGCTGTTAGGATGTATTAGGGTTCCTAAGTATTTATTTTGTATATTCCAATATAAAATTCCGTGAACTAGAGTATCGTCTGAGTTGTTATTGAAGACAGTGACTACTCCCGTAGTGGAATGGGCTAATTTGGTAGCCAACTCAGATGATATGTTCCGGATTTGCTATTGAACAGAAGTGAAGCTTAGCTACCTTCACTGCCGTTTAGTACAAGTCTGCATATCTCTTGTAAATTCCTTAACGTTGTTTTGGTTTATTTGATTCTGATCCCTGCCCTACAATTAGACTCTTAGTGAATTCCCGACCAGTTGACTGGACTCTTAATTGTAAGTCGATGTATAGTGACTATTCCGTGTGGTAGAATGGGCTGATTCGGCTTCATTCCCAGAGTCTGGTTCATACGAGGTTACATACCCTGGAGCGTCATCCTCAGGGGTTGCGTCGCCAGGATATTAATATTGTGGTCCGTTAGGCCGTAGCTAGATTTGCAATTTCTCTGTTGCACATTACTTCTGCTCCTGTCCACTTCCTGCCGTGTCTATATTTCCCGCTTTAGGGATATCGAATAGTCAAAAGCTCTAAGATGCTTAGAGGATAAATTTATGAGATTTTAAAAGTTCGCCCTGCCGAATATCGTAGACTTACTACAATGCCGCGTAGTACTGCTACTGCTGGTTTGACCACCGTTTTCCCAAAACCGTTTTATTCATAAACCCCTCATTTATCTGATTCATCTTTAATTTTATTTTGTCCATTAACTTTCGTTACGATTTTTTTAAATGTTTTGTTCAGGATTAGATCCAATAGCTTGGGGAGGACTTGTAAATACAATTAATTAGCCTCACTGTATATTAACCGAAACGATTATAACTACTGAACAATATATGTGTCAAATTAAAACCTGGCATTTCATTCCCTTGTCGTAAGTCTCTCTTTCAGGTACTACGTCACTACTGAAATATCGTTGACCCTCTGGAATTTTCTTTCTTCACTGCAGCTATAGTCTATTTTTATGTATGAGAGAGTATTAAAATAATAAAGCGTTCGTAATCCACAGGCGTATCACTTCTTTTAGTAGAGAGTTTTTTGAAGTTATTCCTTGAGTATACACTTATATGTTCACCTAATTAACCTGCTTATAACTTCTAAACAGCTGAAGGTAAAAAAGTGCAATTTTTTCTAAAATGTTTTATTTTTCCACAAGGTATGTTAAGAACATTGTGTCAAACGGGTTATGTAGGTATAAGGGTTTAAACTTTGACTTTTAAACAACGTTACGTTCATAAATAATAATTTTAATATAAAAACTACTTCTTACCTACAAATCCAAATCAGAATCGAAATCAGAAGATGAACTGTCGCAATCAATATTTACAATGAGTGGCTCGATCATTTCATCAGTAATATTGTCCAACTTCCACATTTTCTCTTCTTCTTTAATCGTATGATTTACTGCCTTTTCCCAGTTTTCAGGCTTCACATTATTTACAGCCTCCAAAAACAACTGTTTAACATCACTCATTTTAAAAGAATTATTTTTTCTTGAAACTTTTCCCTTTATCTGTGCCCATATCAGTTCAATCGGGTTTACTTCGCAACGATATGGTGGTGATCTAACCACCGTCATCCCACGATTTGTTGCAATTTCATCAATTTCATATTTTTTGAATTTCTCTTTATGAAGGGAACACAAATGATACAGTTCTTTTCTCACAGAACCGGGATGAAACTTAATATTCTTTGAATTTAGCCAATTCTATAAATCTTTTTTTAACCACTTGGTTGTGGGCATTTTTTCTATAAGTCTCGAGTGATAACTTGCATTATCCATTACTATTATACAGTTCTGAGGAAGAAGATCTATACTTTGTTCGAACCACTCTTTAAAGACATCAGCATTCATGTCCTCATGGTAGTCACCGGTACGAGTAGATTCAAAAGTCAATAAACCACCTTTAACAAAACCGTTTGAACTACCGATGTGTACTATTATTAGTCTGCGCCCCTTTCCTGATGGTGGATTTAAACCAGTAGATAAATTATTTAAAAAAGCCTGTCTTCGACTTGTAACAGTTTCATCTTGCCAAAATTTATTTGGTTTATGTCCCTCGTTGATTCATGTTTCATCTAAATAAAATATATTTCTTCTTTGGTTTCTCATTTCTTTTATAGTCCTTAGGTAATTTCTTCTCCATACTACAATATCGCTTCTTTCTATTAAAATAGACTTTCTAGAATGCTTTTTCCATAGAAAACCTATTTCTTTTAAAAGTTTCCATAGTGTGCTTCGACTCATTTCAGGGTAATCCTTATCATCTCGAACCGTGGCAAGAACTTTGTATACTGTCGGAAATTCTTTTCTAAAGAAGAACGCATGCACTTTCCTTCGAAGTCTTTCTTTCAAAAGATTTTCTAATTGAAATTTTGGTTTTCCTGGAGCTTTACGTGCTGTTTGAAACTCGCCACATTTCTCTTCTTTATCAACTCTGTAAATCGTAGATTTCCCAACACCAAGCGTACTACTAACTAATTCCACTGTGTCATCAACACTTTTACATAAATGTTTGTCTGTAAATGATTTAAAACAATTAAATATTAATGTTTTTTCATTAACTGTTAAAGGACCGATTTTTTGTCGTTTACGCGGTCCTTCCAAATTTTCCATGATCACACTAGAATTCACACTGCACCTTGCAAGTTGCAACTAAACGACGTTTAGTAAACTGTCAAGAATACACAACTTGGACCTCCTTACTAAATGGAAAACCTATAATCGCATTTTCGGTGAAATTTGTTGGGAAGGTATTTATCTACTTATAATTCGATTACTGTAAGAAATTCTTGGAATTAAAATAAAACAAAATTGGCAAATAGGTACTTATTGAAAATAATCTTAAGATACGGCTATGTAATCTTTAATACACAGGGCTTTTGGCCTGTCCAAACCATTTTCTATTGTTCTGTACAGCTTATGTTTATAAAGGACCAATAAAAGACCCAAAACTTGTAATAGCTCAGGTACATTTATTACAATTTTAAGAAATATTTAGATTATTCTGTAAAAATATTTAAAATGACCGTACTAAGTTTTGCATTAGAAATGCTGTTTTATTACTCTCTCATACATAAAAATAGACTATACCTGCAGCCCTTCTTGGAACTAGTTTCAATACTTTCAATAGGTAAAGTGGAGCAAACCACTCTAAAACAAACAGGCGCCCGAGCATACCCAGTTCGACCCACAAGTGACCAGTAGATAAAACCTCTTACAATTTTATACGACCAACTCTTAATTTATATTGATAATTAACAGTTTTTAGATGAAGAAAACTGTATATTTTTGATAGCATAGTAGCATAAATTAAAAAAATTAAATTATTTCCAGGTATTCACTTTGATTCCGAAAAAATTAATGAAATTTGAAGCCACTCTCGCAGCATCCGTTCAAGATGTAAAAGACGATTTCATGATGGCGATTAAAAAGGCAATAGTAGATTTCGTATTGCAAGATCCGAATTTCATTAATGCGGTAGGAGAAGACTTGACTAAAGAAAAAATTGAGCTGAAACAAATTGGAAACAAATATAGAGCATCCATTCATTCGGCTAAATTGAAAATTACTAGAAATTTACATGCCATTAATCCCTGTGTCGCAGGAATAATGGATATTTGGGAAAAGGAATATATGTAAGTTACAAATATATTGCATTATATTTTCACAAATGATTACTGGAATATATCTAGACAAAATAATCGTAGGGAGAAAATGGAAAAGGGCTCAATATTGACTCTTGTAGTCTGGATATTGATATAGGTAACCTAGTTATAAGTGTAAATATGAATGTATAAATATAGATATAAAAAAAGATTAAATTAAAAAGGTACAATTACAATTAAAGGGTTAAATGGATTCAGATCTAAAAATCTGTTGAAAATAGTATCATTACTAGACCTAGGAATATATGCACCCAAAAAGTAGTTAAATATGCGCATATATATGCCGCAAAATACTTCAATATATGCGTAAAAAATTGAAAAATATGCAGAGCATATGCAATAAGAGTAATTTGTTATTTGATCGAAATAATTTATTAATATTTATTATTTGTTTTATTTTACAATACCTAATATAGTACTTAATAATTATTTAATTATTAACTAATTTTATTTACAAATCAACATTATTATAAAACTAATGAACAATTAGATGTTTTTCTAAATTATCTGTATTAAATGATTGTCTCCTACAGAAGTAATAGGTGCAAACTTAAATTTTTCTGAAATATCTGGATGAATAGTATTAATATCTTCAAAGTTACAAGAATAAATATTAGCAAGGTTTCTTAAAACAATAAATCCTTCATTTTTTAAAATTACATTTGAAAATTTATGAAAAATGGTCTTTCCAATATCGCCCTGGACATTTTTACACTCTGATTCAAATGTCTTAATTAAATTTACGGAAGTCACCAAAGGTAATTTTTTTTGTTCTAAATCTAATATAATTTTGGGTACAAATGCATAATTTTTTAAAAACACTAATTGCTTTGGTAATATGTAATTTTGAAACAACTTCTTTGTATTAGATATTCCTTTAGATGAATCATCAAAATCAAATATGATTTCTTTAATTTTTTCATAATTATCTGCGTAAAAAAAGGCAGCTTTAAGCCAGGTACCCCACCGAGTAATCACAGGTTCCGGTGACATCTGTAATTCAGGAAATTTTTCTTTGTACAATTGACTTCTTAGAGGAACTTTAAGAAATATTTTTTTTACATTACTAATTAAATCATTTATTAAAAGGAAAGTTAGACCTAATTTCTTCTGCAACTCTGTTAAGGCCATGAGCCAAACATGTAACATGGATTAAGTTTTCATAAAACATTTCTAAATTTTGTGCGGCTTTTACCATGTACGGGGCAGCATCGGATAACAGCAATAAACATTTTTCTGTTGGAATGGCTTCCGGAAGAAACAAGTATTACAAATTAAAAATTTTAAAAAACCGACTTCAAAAACGTGCAGATGCCATCACCACATCTTAACCAAATTTATATGGGACCACCCCTGAGGTACTCCCTTACTAACAAAAAAAGAATCGTATAAATGGGATAAGATGGTAAAGCATTATCGCTAAACATACATAAAAAATTAAGAGTTTGAGGATTTTCTCATGAACCCAATTATTAGATTTTGACTAAATTTATATGGAACCACCCCTGAAATACCCCCTTTCTAACAAAAAAAGAATCATTAAAATCGGACACCGTGTTAAAGAATAATCGCTGAACATATATAAAAAAAAATATCGCGACGAATTGATAACCTCCTCCTTTTTTGAAGTCGGTTAAAAAGGAAGACAATTCTGTCTGGATAAAACGAGTTATTGTCAAGTTATTTGTTTTATCTAATTGCTTTGAAGCGATTAGATATGGACCAATTTGCATTTCTTCGCGTAATGAACCTATCATTAAATGGGCTATATATCCGGCGGGTCCTTTTTGCCCACAAATCTGTTTTCTACCTGTGTAAGTAAAGGGGTGCGTTAATCTTACTGGTATTTTGCCCACAGTAGCATTCAGGTACCTTAACCCGCAAATTACATCCGCCCACAAATAGGTACCTACCTGATTATTAATAATTCTAATAGGTACTTACTTTGGGTGTTTACTGTTTATATTTCAGTCAGTTTTTATACGTTGATGATTGTAATTCGAGTGTTTATAAACAATAATTATTTCTATAATGTCAGCTACATTGATTAAAAGCACACGCGGGAAAGATGTACTCCTTTTGGAGAATTTTACGTTTGCCAAAGATAGAGAAATGAAAAGTGGAGAAGTTTCTTGGAGATGCTCCCAAAGAAAAACAAATGCTTGTAATGCCACTGTATTTACAATTGGTCCTGAACTTTTAGTATCCAGAGGCAACCTAATTCATAGCCATGAAGCAAATGAACCGAAATTAAACAGGAAAATTATTTCTAATTCGTGTAAGCGAAAATCAGTTGATGATATTTCGGAAAAACCTTCTAAAATTATCCGTAAAGTACTTGCTACTAATTTACCAGAGTCACTAACTACAATTGATGTGTCCTACATAAGAAAAACTATATACAACAGTCGTCGCAAAATACTATCAGGTCCATTACCTACAAATATACAAGAAGTGCATGATGCAGTTGACTTATATTCTAATACATTTAAAACCAGTAAAGGTGAACATTTTCTTTTAATAAATAGCAGAGAAAATCATATTATTGTATTTACATGTGAGACAAATATTCGTACTTTGTGTAAAATGAACGTCTTGTAGTTTTTCCTACAATTATTTACCATTCATGGGCTGTGTAATGGACACTATGTGCCCCTGGTATATTGTTTATTACTAAACAAATCTACCGATATATACAAACATTTGTTTTCGTTATTGCATTATAAAATTTTGGAAACTTACAGTATTGCTTTAAATCCATCTAAAGTGTTCGTTGATTTTGAAATAGCAATTCATAAGGCGTTAATTTATATGTGGCCTAATACTGTAATCAATGGCTGCCGATTTCATCTACATCAAGCGTGGTATCGTAAAATTCAGTCTCTGGGATTAATGACTGAATATACAACTATGTAACAGTGATACCGGAAAATGGCTTAAAACATCATTTGGGTTGACATATTTAAACGCCGATGAAGTTGGAGACTGTTTTGTGTTTGACTTAATGGCAAGTAAACCAGAAAATGCCGTTCTCGATAGGTATGCCGATTACCTATTAGAAACATATATTGAAGAAAATTCTACATTTCCTCCAAGTATATGGGCAGAAAAAACAGCTTCAATTACAAGAACTACAAATGTCTGTGAGTCGTTTCATTCAAGGTTTAATTCTTCATTCTACTGTACACATCCTTCTGTATATATTTTTATAGAAAAGACTTTCAAATCGACACGTATGTCACAATACAAAGCTTAAGTATACCTAAGAAAATCAAAGACAAAAGTGTAAAACAAAAAATTCAGTGTTTAGAAAAATTTATACAGCGATTTGATCTGCAGCAAATCAGCAGATTAGAGTATATAAAATTTGTATCACATTTATCCCTCCCAGTTGAAAAATATGTAAATAAAATATAAATATATAAAAAATATAATATAACTTATGTATACTTACTTTTTTATAATAATAAAAATTAGTGTTTAATATAATTTTTAGTTTAATTAATAATGTGTTTTTACTTTTCGATAATATATAAAAAATAATAAATGAAAGATATATCTATTATGATTTATTCAGTTAGAAATAAATTTGGGCAAAATACCAACAGGATTAAGATGACCTTTTACTTGCTGTGGGCAAATTACCTATAGGATTAGCAGCTTTAAATATTTTGTGGGCAAATTACCTCCGCCCTATATATCGACCACAAGAGTCTGTTGTTTCATCCACAATAATGTAGAAATGGTTTCCAACGGTAATCTCACGAATTTTTTCACGAGTCTCAATGTACAAACTGTCAACACCATGTTTGCGTAATATATTTTGCTCTGGAATATTAAATTTACAGTATTTTTGCAAAAATGATCGGAGATTTGGATTATTTAATCGTATTAAAGGGATATTCGAAGTCACTAAAGCTTTGCATAAATCTTCATTAAAAATAGCTTGTTCATTTCTAGACGATCCAGATTCTAAATATTGTTTCAAGGGAAGTTGACTTTGTCTGCGAGTGTCTTTAGATTTCTGTTTTGCTATATGTGAGGGTGTTTTCGCGTGTTGGTCGATTTGAAACTTTTTTTACAAGGAATCTAAAACAAATAAATTCCTGTAGATGTTGAAGTTTTAATTAAATTAAATAAATGCGTACGTTGTAAAGTTGCCCTACTTTTTTTTTAACTGTGAGTTGAAATAATATTTTACTGTCGTTTGATTTACCATTGTGAAAGGTCAAAATAAAATATAAAATAAAAAAGTACTAACAATTTTAGAACATGTTTTACAAAACACCTGGTTATCACCTTCTACAACTAAATCTGAATAAGATTTTACCCACGACTCAATTACTTTTGTCATTTTTCCTACTGGTTAACATAACACAACAATAAAGACTGAAATGAAGTTGAAAGTAAACTGAGTCATTTAGAAATTTGAAAATATTAATACAACTACCTGAAAGGATATTTAGCAAAATTTGTTGGTTTAAGGAGGCTGTTTATAATTTAATCCTCTCAAGTACCTACACCATTAACCGTAATTTATTACAGGGAAAAGTGAATCCTTCAAAATTTTAGGAAATCGACTTAAAGGCATTTCACAAAATATTATTTTGGTCCAGAACTTATAATTTTAATATGTCCAGCCAATTAGTACGTCAGATATATGCCAAAAAATTAACAAAATGTCAATATATGCATTCAAAATCAAAAATTGTATATATATGCAACATATATGCAAAATATGGCGTTTTGCATATATTCCTAGCTCTAATCATTACTAATCCAGAAAATGTTTGGTCATACATTCAACAAAATAAAAAGATAATACGAGAATTTCCGAAAAGATATTTTGCAATAATTGCAATGGAAATGTTTTTACTACGCCACGTTCTATTGTTGAAGGTTTAGCAAATTATTTTAAAAGTGTCTATATTCCAACATAATTTATCAAATTACATTTTCTCAGTCTTCTA